TTCACTGCTTTTGTTTTTGTAGCTCTCATCCCTCTTTGACATTACATTACATTTTTTCATTTACACATATATTATCTATCTCCTTGCTAAAATGTAGGCTCCATGAAGTCAGTGTCTTTGGCAACCTTATCCATTGTAACTTCAGCAAGTAGAACAGTGCCTGGAACACCGCAGAAATTCAGGAATATTCATGCAGCTCATAAACACGCAGAGATTTTCACATGTATAAGCTAAGAGTCATAAAAGTTTATCCTTTCATCCCTGCAGTAAGAGCTTGGTAAAGCTGAGGCAGTGGTTGGTGGAAAGTGAACGACTCATTTGAGTCTGACTTCCTCATGTCTCTCCTTGGGCACATGCTCCGACTCCCAATAAACACATCAAGTTTACTGACTCTGCAGTGGTATTTGGTTGTTGGCTTATTTTCCTTTTGGTTTGGTAGTGTTGTAGGAATAATAATTTTTTTTTTTTTTTTTTTTTGAGACGGAGTCTCGCTCTGTCGCCCAGGCTGGAGTGCAGTGGCGCGATCTCGGCTCACTGCAAGCTCCGCCTCCCGGGTTCACGCCATTCTCCTGCCTCAGCCTCCCGAGTAGCTGGGACTACAGGCGCCCGCCACCGCGCCCGGCTAATTTTTTGTATTTTTATTAGAGACGGGGTTTCACCGTGGTCTCGATCTCCTGACCTTGTGATCCGCCCGCCTCGGCCTCCCAAAGTGCTGGGATTACAGGCGTGAGCCACCGCGCCCGGCCAGGAATAATAATTTTTTAAAAGTGATTTTTAAAACCCATCCAGAATCCTAGCTAACTTTCTACTGCTCAAGTGCCCGTGATCTATTCAGCTTTCCTCTTGTCTCTTCCTGGTGGCAGCCGACTGATACCCAGACACCCAAGTCAGGCAGGTGGGCTCACTGTAGAACACCCCTCCACTCAGGCCTCTCTGTCCTTCCAAAGGAGGGTTTGGTGGGTGGGGCAGATGGGAGAACTGGAGGTGTCACTGGGGCCTTCTTTGATTCAGGAACAAGAATGCTCATACACTACTGTTGGGGGCAGAAAGTAACGTAATTCTTACAGAGGAAAAATTGGCCCTAAAGATACAAAGGCAAAAATACCAAAAGACATATGCATATTGCTGCAATATTTTTAATAGCAAAGGGCGAGAAACAACCCAATGTCAATCGAGAGTGACTGGTTGAATAAACAATGGTATGCTGTCATAATGGAGCATTTTATAATGGAAAACATACTATATGGTTCTATGGAGTGATAGCCAATATTTTAAGCAAAATAGAAGGGTCCAGGAAAGTGTGAAATAGCATGCTGTCATTTATCATTTGTTTATGTTGCTTAAATGGAAGGATAAAAGGGGAAAATTTGGTTACAGCAGAAGGAGGAAGGGAACCGGTCAGAAGATAAACTCTGAATACATTTTGTTTTGTAGATTTGACTTTGGAACCATGTTAATAGTTTATATACTTATAGAACAAAGTTAAAATTAAAAAGCAATCTCTAAAAATTTCAGGAAAATGAAGGAGGTATAATCAGTAAATCCTGATTCTAGTTTGGAGCATGCCACAGAGAGGGGAACCATTCCAAGTAACTTTACAACAGCAAGTTGACTGTCTGTCCCTAATAGCATAAATGTTGAGGACACAAGAATCGAAGAAAAAAAAACAATTTTAACTGTTTTTAGTTATCACATTTGTGTGTTAAGGTTGGCATTGTTCTTATAATAATTTTTTTAAATGTGTAGTTATTTTGGTGATGTTTAGAAGGAGGTTTTCAGAATGAGAGAAGGAGAACAGACAGAGGATCAATGAAGTTGCATTAAAAATGAAAACAAGGCCAGGCGTGGTGGCTACGCCTGTAATCCCAGCACTTTGAGAGACTGAGGCGGGCAGACCACTTGAGGACAGGAGTTTGAGACCAGCCTAGCCAACATGGCAAAACCCTGTCTCTACTAAAAATACAAAAATTAGCTGGGTGTGGTGGTGTGTGCCTGTAATCCCAGCTACTCGGGAGACTGAGGCGTGAGAATCGCTTGAACCCGGGAGGTAGAGGTTGCAGTGAGCCAAGATTGCACCACTGCACTCCAGCCTGGGCAATAGAGCTAGACTCTGTCTCAAAAATAAAATAAAATAAAAACACTATGAAAAATAAAAATTTGCTGGGTGTAATGGCATGGACCTGTAGTCCCAGCTACTCAGAGGCTGAGGTGGAAGGATTGCTTGAGTCCAGGAATTTGAGGTTGCAGTGAGCTATGATTGTACCACTGCACTCCACCCTGAGTGACACAGAGAGACCCTGTTCCTATGCCAATTCTCCCCTTAACACAACAAAAAACCCACAGTAGTCCTGAATTAAATTGGAAGTATCAGCATGAACTCATGTAGTGTTTTATCTTAAAAAAATACTAATAATACATATTTCCTAGCTCTAGCCACTAAAGCCAAGATACGATGATGTAACCGCTACCAATGAGCACTCTGAGCACCCAGATCTTGATATCTAATTACCATTCCCCACTAGAAGGAACCAGGGATTGTTGAGGGAAAACAGCTGATTTCAGGGCTGGGGCAGAAAATATACAAGATGAAAATCTTATCATACAAGATAATTAGGAAACTATTAAAGACTACTAGGGTCATGTCAAAAGGAATCAGCCACCTTGAAGCAGCTCCCAAGAACCAAAGATAGAACAATTGGAGCAAAAACAAAGACAGTAACTGTAATTACTATGAATACAGATGATAATACACATGATAACATCAGGTATGTTTCAACCATGAGTTCATAATGTACTCAAAGAAGAAAACAACTCTCACAGGGCATATTGGAAAGATGCCTGTGAACCACCTCATTTTGAAAACTGAAAAATAAAGGGAGGAAAGCCAAGAATCAATCCTACTTTTCTCATACAACCAAATCTCAGGGTAACCATAACTGATGAGAGTAAGTTTCTCCTTATAAAGTAGGTCAGCTAATAAACAAAGAAAAAATCAATAGCACTGGAATATTAATTGCAACCACTACAGAAGTAATGGATCTGTGCAATCAGTGGGTGCTAACCTCCTACTAGAAGGATCTGTCACCACCAATGAAGTAGTCTTGCCAAAATAAACCTAACTAGAATCTAACTCTCTAGATTTGTAAGAAATAGAGATGCACTCAGAAAGACTCATACTATGAGAAATTCTACAATATAAATGACCTAATATTTTGTCTTCCAACAAACCTTCAGATTATTCCAGAATATGCTGAAGTGTCAATTCCACTGCTACAGATTTAGAAAAGACTTAAAAGGCGTATCAAAAAATTACAGTGCATAGACCTACTGCAAGTAAACAAAAAAATATAAGCCACTCAGAGAAATGTCAACAATGGCTGAATATTTAAAGGTATTAAGGAATTAATGTTTTAGATGTGAATGGTATTTTGGTTATCCTTTTTTTTAAAGTTATCTTTTAGAGATACATTCTAAAATATTTTCAGAGGAAATGATAGGATTGGATCTACTTCAACATCATCATGAGGTGGGGTGATAGTAAACGAAACAAGTTGGCCATGTGTTCATTGTCGAAGCCACTGATTCAGGCATGGAGTTCATTATACTATTCTCTCTACTTTTGCATATGTTTGCAACTTTGCCTGATAAAAAGTCTTGAAGCCCCTCCCTCAAATAATATGAAACTATATTACCTGGAAAGGGGTGCAAATGGATACTGGTTAACTACTAGCTACTCTTAGTGTGGAGTGGAGCTCTGAAAGGACAAAAGAAAAGTTGATTCCATAGAGGAGAGTGGGGAAAGAGCACATAGAGAACAAGACACTCTACAGGGAGAAGTGCCCAGCCATCATCCACAAAAGACCCATCATCCACATCATCTACAAGAAGTGCCCAGCCATCATCGTCCGCACCCATCATCCACATCCTAAGCAGTCAGCCAATTATACTTTGGTGCTGTGGGGACCGGGGCTGGGTACATGATTTCATCAGCGGGAAGCAGGTTAGATGATGACAGATCTTGGTGATGGAAATCGTTGCTTTAAACCGGGCTATTTGACATCAAAGTCATATCATATACCAGCTTAGAGGCTACCTGCTCTGGAGACTCCCCAAACACTCCTCACCTTCTGGGATGTGAGAGGCTTGTCCCCCTGAACCACCCCTGTCCCTAGCCCACAGCTGTGACATCTCCCATTCAGGAACCTGGCCAGACCCTTGGACTCTTCCGCCTGGTGTTGTACACATGGGACTGGGTGGTGTGCAAGCTTCTGGCCCAGCATAGCTACATTTAGAAACGGAAGTCTGTGGATAATGTTTCAATGAAGTCTTGTGACTGTAGTTTGGAGGTCCTTTTTCTGTTGTTAGAGATAGCAGCTGAGCGCATGGGAGAAGAAAAATTTCAAAAGCAACTCTTGACTGGGTCTCAATCTTTGTTCAAAAAATAGTACAAGAATAAACCATCTTAGAAACCATCTTGATGTAGGGCTTGATCATCGAACTAGTGACACACTTCTGGCTCCATCTCATACCAGGGCAAATACAAAGAAGATTTAAATAAAATACGTGTGACGAAATCTCACCAGCAGCTTGACACGTAATTAGATAATGACACTTTCTTACAGATTCTCTACCTCTTAAGTTTTAGCTTGAATGATCTTCCCCACCCTACCCTACACCCCTCCCTACCCCACCCCACTCAGCTCTGGCCAGTGTTTTCTCTCTTTGGTCACCTGGAGGGCGTCACCCTGTAGTGAATTCATCAGAAACAAAAGGCCATGGAATCCATGACAACTCAAGCATTTTCCTAAACTCTCCACGGCCAGGTATTGTCCTTACCAATCTCCCATGTGGTCAAAACAAATTTATATTGTGGAACAGTCCCAAACATCACCTCTGTGTTCTCTGACTCATTTATTCCAGTGTATCCAACCCAGACAGGAAGAGAGCCAGCCATCCCCTCCTACAAGGAAGTGGGCTGTCTCATGCTCAGGGAGAAGTCAGGCGGGCAGGAAGGAGCAATTGCTTTTATTTTTCCAGTTATATTACCAGGTTATGTATTTGAGATATGATTTCTCAAAAGGGAAGTAACTCAGGCAGAATCCATGCTTTTAACAATGGGTCCTTGGTCTAGAAGGATCTGCGTGGGGTTTAAGGCCCTCCTGTGGCTCTCTGATGAGAAGGCAGGCAGGCATGTCACAGAGGAAAAGGCAGGTAAGAACAACGTGCTGTGGGTCATGGGAGGAGACTCCACTTCTTATGCTACATACGCAGAGGCATGACTAGGCCCCCCGCACGACTAGAAGGGCCTCATTCATAGCAAGCCTGGCTATAAAAATGCAGAAGGGCTGATAGTCATCCGACACACATTGCCAGCTTTTCTCTCCCCAGCAGTTCAAACTCACAAGGCCATTTGCACAGCATTTTGGAGAGCCACCCATCCCCTGAATGAAAAAGGTTTAAGAAAGTTAGTGCATAATCTAAGGGAAGGGCCTCAAAGCAGGAAAAAAAAAAAAAAATGTGATGGCAGCAGGTTGAGTTTTGCGGCTGCTCTTCTGTGCTATTCCATGGGACACCGTGCAACGCCGGCCTAGAAGCCTGGGTGCACTGGCGAGAGGGCGGGAGCAGGCGGGAGGGTCCACGCACTCAGGGCCCCAAGCTGAGCCTTCGGGGAAGAGAAATGAGGTCAGATCTCCACACCCCGGTGCTCCTGTGTACCCTCAGAAGTCATAGGGGGATACAAAAATGGTGACCTTGGACACGTGGTTGGCCTGGAAGGAGCGGTCCAGGTATTCCGACATGTCGACGTCCACCTCCAGCGTCTGAGGCCCCGCCAGGGTCTGCACGAGGATGAGCTCCCCAGTCTGCCGGTCTGAGCGCTGCATCACAAAGTGGCCGCGGCTGTTGCCACCCACGATCCCAAAGCGCAGGCTGTTGGGCCCAGCTCGGCCGGGGGCAGAGGCGGTGGCCATGCGGAAGAGCGTGATGGGCGTCTTCAGGTTGGAAGGCAGAGATAGGTAATGGAAGGAGATGGTCTTGGGCAGATGGCGGCAGGGCCTGCTGTCCATAGGGCAGGGGTTCCGCTCACACTGGCTGGAGCAGAGAGGCAAAATGGGGGCCAGTCAGCCTTGGGGAGTCTCATGAGGGGGCTGCTCTGACCCGGCTGCCCACCTGCCCTCTTGCAGAGGTCACCTAGATGACCTTTCCCAGCGACGCGTCCTTTACCCAGGAGCTATGGAGCTGCAGGCGGTGAACGTAGCTGGTGTCAGGCATGGCAAAGGCAGGGCGCCGCTGCTTCTGTTCCTGCTCATTGGTGCTCCCTGCCCACCTGTGCACGTGTGTATGTGTGTGCATATATATTTATTTATGCTATTACTATCATTTTTACAGAAAAATAAAGCCTGGGAATATTAAATAACGATGGCAATGCTGATATTCAAACCAGGTGCCCTTTCTCCATGGGCTGCGACCTCCCTCAGTAATGGTAGGACCTCAGCAGTTAGTCAGCAACATCGTGTAATAGGGTGCTTCCCACACGGTATATGGTGAACTTCCTAAACACAGCAGCATGTATTTTATTTATTTCTTTATTTTAGACAGAGTCTCACTCTGTCGCCCAGGCTGCAGGGTGGTGGCATGATCTCGGCTCTCTGCAACCTCCACCTCCCAGGTTCAAGTGATTCTCCCGCCTCAGCCTCCTGGGTAGCTGGGATTACAGATGCCCGCCACCACGCCCAGCTAATTTTTGTATTTTTAGTAGAGACGGGGTTTCACCATGTTGGCCAGGCTGGTCTCGAACTCCTGACCTCAAGTGATCTACCCGCCTTGGCCTCCCAAAGTGCTGGAATTACAAGCATGAGCCACCGCGCCTGGCCATCACATGTATTCTTAAAGCAGGAAGCCCTGTTTTCCTTAATCATTTGGAAACAGGCTCTTATGGATTTGCTTTTGATATTTCTCTATCTTGTTAAACAGAAAAGACAAACGCAATCTAGTATATTTGGTGATTCTGTAGCATCATGATTATGCAGGTCAAATATCACATCCAGCTGTTGGTCGAATGCCCCAGAGGCCATAACAGACAGGTTCCCCATCCCTTCACCAAGTGACTCCATGAGGAAGGTTCTGATGTCTTCTCTCTCTCTACAAACTGCCCTGCTTCAGTGCCACTAACTTTCTTGCTGCTTCTAATCTGCTTTAACTCAACAGCAATTCAAATAATTAAGTTACCTTCCATGGCTGTTACTTCATTTTAAAGACAATGCTAGGGCTCTTGTGATCTCTTTTTGAGAGGAAAACGTATGTGCTTTGTGATAGTTGTAGTTATTCCCTTAAAGGTCCATCTCCCAACTTTAAAAAAAAAAAAAAAGCTCTACTTGCTGTTTAAGAGTTGCAGTTACTAGATGTAGAATCGTCCAGTACTATGGGAAAAACAGAGCGGTATAATGCAGGCTGCATGGGATATGCAGGGTAACTCAGGGAGTCTACAGTTCCCGGATATGTGAATGCTGTCACCTCCCAAATCCATGTGATCTATACCTGTCTCCTGGGCTGCTATGGGTTTATCAGGGTAATGTCACCAACAGCTTCTTCCCTCCAGTGGCCTGCCCTGGCTTTGCCATTCTGGGGTGGCAGCAACCCCATCATCCTCTATGTAGTAGGAGAGCACTTAGTACATCAGTCCCATAGGGAATGGGGTTCTTATTTCTCCAGAGCAGCAACGCATTAAATGCAACCACTGAGGGGAAACGGCAATTCAGAGAAGCCAGCCTCCCAGCCTCCGGCCTCTCATCTTTCTATGGCGTAACTGTACCTTCTCCCAAGAACCTCTAGGAGGCATCCAGCCCAGCCACACTTGGAGGCCTGGGTGAGGGTGTGCACGCCCTGGAGATACTCACAATGGAGACGTCTTCACGTAGCTCACATTGCCGCTGCCCTCGGGGCACTCAGGGCTGACACACTGGAAGCTTCCACCGGTGTTGATGCACGTGGTCCCCTGGGGGCACACCGGCTGCAGGCCCACACATTCATCTACATCTGAGATATGGGACATACAAGGGGTGAGCGTCTCCCTGACCTTCCCTCCATTGCAGACAGAACCACCTGAGATGCCCTGCAGGCCCTGTAATGTGGTGCTCCCTGCTCCTGGCACTTATTCTTTTTTTTTTTTTTTTTTTTTTTTTGAGATGGAGTCTCACTCTGTCGCCCAGGCTGGAGTGCAGTGGCCGGATCTCAGCTCACTGCAAGCTCCGCCTCCCGGGTTTGCGCCATTCTCCTGCCTCAGCCTCCCGAGTAGCTGGGACTACAGGCGCCCGCCACCTCGCCCGGCTAGTTTTTTTGTATTTTTTTAGTAGAGACGGGGTTTCACCGTGTTAGCCAGGATGGTCTCGATCTCCTGACCTCGTGATCCGCCCGTCTCGGCCTCCCAAAGTGCTGGGATTACAGGCTTGAGCCACCGCGCCCGGCCGGCACTTATTCTTAAAGCACAAAGCTTGCCTTCCTGGAATGTGTGGAATCAAGGCCCTGAGGAAATGCCAGGGAGCGCCCCTCCCGGGGATCCTGTCCTCCTTCCCTGGGGCATGACAGGTGGCAGGGGTGGTGGAAAGCACCAGGTGAGTGTTACTGGTCACAACACTTCTCTCAGACCTGCCTGCTTCTCAGCCCAAATGCCCCATTACCCTCCATGGCTGCTATTTTTCATCTATATATATACATATATATTTTTTAAATTTTTTTTACATTATAATCTTCCAAAAAGTCTCCCTCCCCATGCCGAATGCGGACACCTCCATATCATGATTTGTACGCGTTCTCTGCTGCCTTTGCAGACATCCAGAGAGTCTCCCCGCTGGAGGCCATCCTTCCCAACCCCGAGCAACCCTAGGTGGGCCTTTGTGAGCACTGTGGGAGGGAGGGAGGTAGTGTGGGTGGCTATCTGGATGCCTTCTCCTGCTCCAGCCCCAGGTCACCCGCTCCTCAGAGCCCTGCAGCAGGGCCCCAAGGGGTTGTCACCGGGGAGCCACCCCTCCCCTCACATTCCCACGTCAGCCCACGGAGGAGCCCTCTGCCCTCTCTTCTCCCATTCTCCCTTGGTGGGTCAGAGCTGCTGCCTGGAGCCAGTGGGGCTCCCCTGTGTCCTGTTTCCAGGGGGGGAGTCCAGCTGAGGAGGTGGGCCTGTTCACCCTCCTAGTGTGAGGTGTGCCTGCAGGAGCAGAGCCAGTCCTCCCCCCGAAAGGCCCACTGCAGCACGGTAGTTTGAGGGTCAAGGGTCAGGATGATGCTGCTTGGGCTTCAGGCCTGAGATGTGTGCTCTGACTCAGCTCATGTGGAGATTCAGCATGTTTACATCAACTGGCATCTGTATGTTCCCTAAGTGGGGGTGGGCAAACACAGGAGGTTTCCTGTTAGGCACCCAGGGTCCCTGGGACTTGTCCTGTAGTGACGATGGTGACTGCTGCCAGGGTTCTCAGCCTCTCTGTTCTACAACCAACCCACTCTGCACACATCCTTCTTGCCCTCTTAGGTGCCTCCCACCCCTGCTGCTGACACTCCTTGTCAACTTCAGATGATGTTCTTTCCCACTCTGCCAGGAATCAGCCTCAGAAACCTCAACCCGGTCCTCCAGGAAGCCACTGCTGATGGACAGGGTTCAGCACTGGGGTGAAACCGGAGCCAGTTAGTTTCCATCTGCACCCCTGCCCCCCAACCCACTCTCTGCACCTGAGACGCGGACTGGTTTTCAGCTGGGGTTGGCAAATGATAGTGACCCAGCCTGAGGGAGTCCTGACCTGCCTGGATGTGGTTCTGATGGTGGCTGTGTCCTTGATGGCCACCATCTATCAGGCTCTGGTAAGCCCCCTCACTTCCTGTACCCCTCAAGCCAGGGGTAGTGATGCCCCCGACTCTTGTCCCTCCCTGGGTGCTCCGTGTCCCTTGTCCTCAGCTACCATCAAACGAGGCTGGTGCTGTAGACGTAAGTGCCTGTAAGGTGCTACCCCCTTCAGAGGTGGACTTACAGGTGGCCACACAGGGTCATGGAGCCTCATGGGTTCCTCCAGATTACATGACCTGGATGACCACCTGGCCACTCTGCCTTTAGGTCCAGCCCTAGCTGAAGGCATTGTTGAGTGGGTGGAAGTGACCAGACCTTGAAAAAAAAAAAAACCCAGTTACTGGAATAAAGTTGGAAAAGACTACTTGCCAGGATGGTTAAGGAATTCATCTTCCTATTTATGTCGATGATGATGTGGCCTGACCTTTGAGAAGCCCTTTGGTTCGTGGCTTTTTCAAAATCAAATGTATCTGAAACTGTGACTCTCCTAACCACCTCACTCCCGATTGTGAGGTCCTGAGGGTTCACCACAGCAGCAGGTGGCCGGGTGCAGGCGGCACTCTGTAGCCTCACTCACCCTCACAGCTCTTCCCGTCGGCCAGGGTTAGGTATCCGCTGGGGCAGGTGCAACGGTAAGAACCCGGGGTGTTCACGCAGGTGTGCATGCAGAGCCGGGGGCGCCCCTCCTGCCCGTAGAGCTCACACTCGTTCACATCTGCGGACAGAAGTGCTCACTGTGACTCCCCAAGCCATGCAGCAGGTGTTGCCTGCTGTGACCCAGAACAGTCATGCCTCAATTCCTGGAAGCAATGGCAGCTGCAGTTAAGTGGCTGGGCCTCCGGCAGCCGCCATGCCCTACCCCCAGCAGAGCACTTGCAAGAGGAGCAGGTGTACTTCCCTTTCTCCTAAGCCGAGGGCCCAGAGGGCTAAAAGGAGGAGTGAGAGCGAGTTGACGTGCTAGGCCCTAGAAGGGCATCTCTGTCTTAGGCTGAAGACACCTGGGGAGACTCTGCAGAGGCTGGCAAATCAAGCCTATTCCCTGAAAGCCGGGATGGGTTAACAGCCCCGTGTTAACTCTCGTTATCTTTGGGAATGGAGTAAGAGGGCCTCCTTTCTGCTGCTGTAAAATGAGGCTATTAGCACCAACTGACCAGATCTCAGATTTGAACTCCTGCTTTGCGTTGTTTGGGGAGAGAACTCTGGTAATCAGGAGAGCCCAGCAAAACTGAGCCGTCAGGAAAGCTAAGCCCAGAGAGGACCAAGGAATGAGTCCCACACCCCTACCCAGCTCCGGGCCCTCTCTACCAACACAACGACTTAAGCTCCTCCTTGCCACCTGTAGATGTGATCCCAGCCAGGACGACTTAAGCTCCTCCTTGCCACCTGTAGATGTGATCCCAGCCAGGACGGAGGGGATGGAGGGTCTCAAGCCTCTCCTGAACCAAGCGCGTGTGGCTTGGGCATAGGCTGGACCAGGTTCTGAGGTGGGGCGAGCTCTGATTTCTATGAATTAGCAGCTTTCTAACAATCGTTAGGTCAGTACTTACCTATAATGCAAAGTGGCCAGGCCTTCTGAGACCGCGCCCAGGAAGCCACCCGTGCCGGCAGGAGGACGGTGGGGGAGAGCCCCTTCCCCACCCCATGTCCTCCCGCTGCTGTCCCCAGTGTCCTGGCGGAGCCCGCGCCTACCCTCGCAGACGCTGTCGCCGGCGGCGCCGCTCAGGTGGAATCCGGCCTCGCAGCTGCAGTGCTGAGCCCGCTCCACCTGCGCACAGCGCGGCGCGCGGCTGAAGGCAGAGTCGCCGGCCACGCTGCCCTCGGGGGCGGCTGCGGGGAGAAGACACGCTCAGTGCCGGGCCCTGGCGCACCTGCCGTGGGCCCAACCTTGGGTAGGGGCTGGGAGCAGAACCAAGACGGAGGTACGGCCCCTTCTCAAAGAGCTTACTCTGGAGTAGGGAAAGGAAAGACAAGTAATTAACCACAAACCCAGACGACCCGTCCAGGGCCCACCCAAAGGGGACGCAGGACAGGAAGCGCACTCGAATAGAATGGTGCATGAAAATGCAGGCTACAGCTAGGGCAAGTCCACGTTTTCACTTAAAAATACTTGAACACCCCAACATTCTAACAGTGATCACTAGAGTTTAAAACCGTGGGCCACTATTTTTTGTTTCTGTGTGTATTTTTTATTTTATTATTTTTAATTTTAGGTTTGAATACCTTCCACATGTGAAGGTTATATAGATAAATACGTGTCACAGGGGATTGTGGTATACATTACCCAGGTGTTAAGCCCAGGACCCAATAGTTACCTTTTCTGCTCCTCTCCCTCCTCCCCTACCCCTCAAGTAGACTGCCGTGTCTGTTGTTTCCTTCTTTGTGTTCATAAGTTCTTGTCATTTAGCTCCCACTTATTAAGTGAGAACATGCAGTGTTTGGTTTTCTGTTCCTACGTTAGTTTGCTAAGGATGGTAGCCTCCAGCTCCATCCATGTTTCCACAAAAGACATGATCTCGTTCTTTTTTGTGGCTGCATAATATTCCATGGTGTATATGTACCACATTTTCTTTCTCTTTTTTTTTTTTTTTTTGAGATGGAGTCTCGCTGTGTTGCCCAGGCTGGAGTGCAGTGGCGGGATCTCAGCTCACTGCCAGCTCCGCCTCCAGGGTTCACGCCATTCTCCTGCCTCAGCCACGGGAGTAGCTGGGATTACAGGCACCAGACATCATGCCTGGCTAATTTTTTTATATGTTTTTTAGTAGAGACGGGGTTTCACCATGTTAGCCGGGATCGTCTCGATCTCCCGACCTTGTGATCCACCCTCCTTGGCCTCCCAAAGTGCTGGAATTATAGGCGTGAGCCACTGCGCCTGGCTCCATGTACCACATTTTCTTTATCCAGTCTGTTATTAAGGAGCATTTAGGTTGGTTCCATGTCTTTGCTATCTGCTGCAATGAATATTTGAGTGCATGTGTCTTTATGGTGGAATGTTTAATGTTGTTCTGGGTATATACCCAGTAACAGGATTGCTGGGTCAAGTGGTAGTTTTGCTTTTAGCTCTTTGAGGAATCACCATACTGCTTTCCACAATGGTTGAACTAATTTACACTCCCACCAACAGTGTATAAGGGTTTCCTTTTCTCCACAACCTCTCCAGGATCTGTTACTTTTTGACTTTTTAATAATAGCCATTCTGACTGGTGAGAGATGGTATCTCACACCAGCTAGTTTTGATTTGCATTTCTTTAATCATCAGCGATATGGAGCTTTTTTTCATATGCTTGTTGGCTGGATGTAGGTTTTCTTTTGAGAGGTGTCTGTTCATGTATGTTGCCCACTTTTTAATGGGGTTGTTTTCTCTTGTAAATTTAAGTTCCTTATAGATGCTGGATATTAGACCTTTGTCAGATGCAGAGTTTGCAAATATTTTCTCCCATTCTGTGAGTTGTCTGTTTACTCCTTTGATAGTTTCTTTTGCTGTGCAGAAGCTCTTAAGTTTAATTAGATTCCATTTGTCAATTTTTGCTTTTGTTGCAATTGCTTTTGGTATCTTTGTCATGAAATCTTTTCCTATTCCTCTGTTAGGACGGTATTACCTACGTTGTCTTCCAGGGTTTTGGTAGTTTTGGGTTTTACATTTAACTCTTTAATACATTTTGAGTTGATTTTTGTCTATGGTGTAAGAAGTAGTTCAGCTTCAGCCTTCTGTATATGGCTAGCTAGTTATCCCAGCACCATTTATTGAATAGGAGTCTTTTCCCCATTCTTGTTTTTGTCAGCTTTGTCAAAGATCAGATGGTCATAGATGTGTGGCCTTATTTCTGTGCTCTCTATTCTGTTCCATTGGTCTATGTGCCTGTTTTTGTACCAGTACCATGCTGTTTTGGTCACTGTAGCCTTGCGGTATAGTTTGAAGTTGGGTAATGTGATTCCTTTAGCTTTGTTCTTTTTGCTTAGGATTGCCTTGGGTATTCAGGATCTTTTTGGGTTCCATATACATGTTAAAATAATTTTTTCTAGTTCTGTGAAGAATGTCTTTGGTAGTTTGATAGGAATAGCATTGAATCTATAAATGGTTTTGGGCAGTATAGCCATTTTAATGATATTGATTATTTGTATTCATAAGCATGGAATGTTTTTTCATTTGTCTGTGTCTTCTCTGATATTTTTGAGCCATGTTTTGTAATTCTCATTGCAGAGATCTTTCACCTCCCTAGTTAGCTGTATTCCTAGGTATTTTAGTTTTGTGTGTGTGGCAATTGTGAATGGGATTGTCTTTCTGATTTGGCTCTCAGTTTGGTTGTTGTTGGTGTACAGGAATGCTAGTGATTTTTCTACATTGATTTTGTATCCTGAAACTTTGCTGAAGTTTTTATCAGCTGAAGGAACTTTTGGGCCGGGACTATGGGATTTTCTAGATATAGAATCATGTCATCTGCAAACAGAGATAGTTTGACTTCCTCTCTTCCTATTTGGATGCCTTTATTTCTTTCTCTTGCCTGATTGCTCTGGCCAGGACTTCCAATACTCTTCCAATACTACGCTGAATAGAAGTGGTGAGAGAGGGCATCCCTGTCTTGTGCCAATTTTCAAGGGGAATGCTTCCAGCTTTTGCCCATTCAGTATGATGTTGGCTGTGAGTTTGTCATAGATGACTCTTATTATTTTGAGGTCTGTTCCTTCAATATGTAGTTTGTTGAGAGTTTTTTAACATGAAGGGATGTTGAATTTCATCAAAAGCCTTTTTGCATCTATTGAGATAATCATGTGGTTTTGCTTTTAGTTCTGTTTATGTGATGAATCACATTTATTGATATTTATATGTTGAATCAACCTTGTATACTGGGGAGGAAGCCTACTTGATCATGGTGGATTAGCTTTTTGATGTGCTGCTGGATTTGGTTTGCAAGTATTTTGTTGAGGAGTTTTGTATCAATGTTCATCAAGGTTATTGGCCTGCAGTTTTCTTTTTTTGTTGTGTCTCTGCTAGGTTTTGGTATAGAGATAACTCTGGCCTCATAGAATGAGTTGGGGAGAAGTCCCTCCTCCTCAATTTTTTGGAATAGTTTCTGTAGGAACAGTACCAGCTGTTCTTTGTACATCTGGTAGAATTTGGCTGTGAATCCATCAGGTCCTGGGCTTTTTTTGGTTGGTAGACTATTTATGACCAATTCAATTTCAGAACTCGTTATTGGTCTGTTCATGGACCACTATTTTTTGTTCCTGGTTTTGTTTGTTTTCTTTTCTTTTCTTTTCTTTTTTTTTTTTTGTATTTCTTCTACTTTTCTAAAGTGTTCACATTTTTTATTTTTACCAAGAACATAAATTTCTCCTTCCTTCCTTCCTTCCTTCCTTCCTTCCTTCCTTCCTTCCTTCCTTCCTTCCTTCCTTCCCTCCCTCCCTCCCTCCCTCCCTCCCTCCCTCCCTCCTTCTTCCTTCCTTCCTTCCTTCCTTCCTTCCCTTCCTTCCTTCCTTCCTTCCTTCCTTCCTTCCTTCCTTCTGTCTGGCTGTGTCACCCAACCTGGAGTGCAGCGGCACAATCTCAGCTCACTGCAACCTCTGTCTCCCGGGTTCAAGCGATTCTCCTGCCTCGGCCTTGAGTAGCTGGGATTACAGGCGCGTGTCACCACAGCCTGCTTTTTTTTTTTTCAAGTAAAGACGGGGTTTCACCACGTTGACCAGGCTGGTCTCAAACTCTTAACCTCAAATGATTCACCCACCTCAGCCTCCCAAAGTGCTGGGATTACAGGAATGAGTCATCTTGCTTGGCCAGATTATATTTCTAATCAGGAAAAAGTGTTTTTTTTTCTGAAAGTTTTTCAAGGATTGGTGGGAATAAAACACAAGTGGACAAATCCTGCATGATTCTACTTAGATGAGGTCCCTCGAGCAGTCAGACTCACAGAGACAGAAAGAAGAATGAATGGTGATTACCAGGGGCTATGGGGAGGGCAATGGGGAGTTGTCCCATCACGGGTACAGAAGCTCAGTTTTACAAGACAAAAAATAATTCCGGAGCTGGATGGTGGTGATGGTTGCATGACAATGTGAATGTGATTAATGCCCACTGAGCTGTACAGTTAAAAATGATTAAACTGGTAAATGTTATGTTATATATATTTTATCATAATAAAAAATAGGATGAATGGATTTTTAAAAAAGGAACTGGAGGGATGCTGAAAGGCATGGGCCAGCTGATGGGAAGGAAGGTGTCAGGCTAGGGGACAAGGTGAGCAAGAGCCTAGGTGTGTGATGGCTGTTCATGGAGACTATGAGGATAGGAGCTGGCTTTGGATGTGCCTGCTTGCTTCCCCTCCTTCCCATTCCTGGGGAAGATTCTGGTCATGGGGACACTTTATAAACAGGCCCCCCTGGACCCCGAGCAACAATTGTCTAAAGACGCTTGGGCGGGCATGGTGGCTCAGGCCTGTAATCCCAGCACTTTGGAAGGGCAAGGCAGGCAGATCCACTTGAAGTCAAGAGTTCGAGACCAGCCTGGCCAACATGGTGAAACACCATCTCTACTGAAAATACAAAAATTAGCCAGGAGTAGTGGCAGACACCTGTAATCCCAGCTACTCGGAAGGCTGAGGCAAGGAGAATCACTTGAACCCAGGAGGCGGAGGTTGCAGTGAGCTGAGATGGTGCTACTGCATTCCAGCCTGGGCAACAGAGTAAGACTCCATCTCAAAGAAAAAAAAAAAAATCCCACAGTGGAGGAAACCCTAAAGAGTGGGGTTTCGAACATTCAGTGACCAGGACTGGCATATTTAGGGTGAAAGGGAACCTATCTTTTTCCCTCTTGTTTGTAAACAAGGGAGGGGCCGTGAGGTATCCAAGGAGGC